CAGAGAACCAACAAACCAACGTCAAAAATCAACAGACGAAGATAAACACACCGGCACACACACAAAACTGTTCATTTTCAAAAAGTAATGAACTTACGCAATAACTCTCTTATCAACTGGGAAGAACCCAACTGTAGCACCATACTCGGGGCACATATTTGATATGGTGGCCCGATCGGCAATGGAAAGAGAAGATACTCCTTCACCGAAAAATTCCACGAATTTCCCAACCACGCCAAGATCGCGAAGATTCTGAAAAGTAACTGTGGAGAAAACACCTAGACCTTGTCCAAAGATAGCCCAAAGGTTAACTTTTAATGAATACCCAAAGTCATAGATTAGCAAAAACAATGACTGACGATACCTTTGTAATTGTGAGAACCAAGTCGGTGCTTGTAACACAGTCACCGAGCGTGCCCACCAGTTCATAGCCGACAACTTCTGGGATGACCTAGAATGACACATTTCTGATACCAATTTCAGAAGAACGATGAAAAAGAAAAGGAAGAAAAATGATGAAAAGAACTAGATGACCTAGAATGACACCAATAAGGAAAAAATAAAGAAAATGATTCTGAACACGTATATGACACACAGACAATAAAAATAGTAGTTTCGTAGTGAGACATAGACGACACACGTGAATTATCAACCTCTGACAAAACAGCCTTCACAAATTCCACACCGAAACACACTTAGCAAGGCCAGCTACACCGTCGCATGTTCGGAGTATAATTTTAGAGAATCTCGTGCTTGCAAATTGCACACTTCTCGTTAAGTGACCGCAACAACCTATACTGTTGCGAAAAACAGGATATACAAATTACTATTGCAATATTTAGTAGCACAAATCATGAAATGGTGGAAAAATTCTCATAGTTTGCCATGAAGTTCGCCTTGATGCTCATTGCGGCTACCAAACACTATTCAAAAATCCTCATATGAAACATCATGGTTGCAGTCACTCATGAATGGCTGCCTCGAGACCGTTTCACGATAAAAACGAGAGGAACACCTGGGAGATGTTCGCAACGGAAGCGGCTTTAGTTTCTGCTTCCAGCAGCAGGAATATTCTGTTTGATTTCCGCGCCGATCTCGTCTTCAAATTGCCAGGGCAGGGCGAATTGTAGTAGTACCGCCCATGTCAGTCAACGGCACCGCTTTCCCAGAGTTAGTCAAATATTACTATTTCCCCGCTAAATTGATAGGGGTGAAATCAGGGTTCTCGATCACGCGACTGTGGTATTCGCGTTGTCCCTTCGGTTGTGATACCGAGTTTGCGCGATGCAAAATTATTCTAGCGGATTTGGCAAGGAGAGATCCATCACACAGGGTTACTAATGCTCCGATATGTGAACATAAAAGTACAACCACGTATATTAGGAGACCGATTTGGAGGTGAAATACATCCAAAACACAAGATCTTGTCAAGTGGATCGACTCGAAACCCCAAAAGTCGCCTCGCTGCTGTGCCATACGTCACGCGAAATCCGGCACTAACACCAATCGACAGCTAGCCAAGTGGTGGCCGACGACAGTCTTATGAACTCCTCTTCTCACTTTCTTCAGCATGTTATCATTCCAACCTAATTTCTTAGCCAACCTCACGTTGTTTTGAATGGATGCATTATCAACAAGTACCGCATTCAGCGGGTCAACCTTCTCTATAAGATGCAACCGTTCTCAATCAAGCCTCTGCAAAAATTATCTAAAAAACATTTTCCGGTATTTTTTTTTGAGCTTCAGGGCACACCCGCTGACAGCCAGAAAATAACTATCACAGATACTGCACTCTCACATGCAGCAGCTCTCACAGTATCGCGAGAAACCATTTCGAAGATGCGCCCCCCACCGTGAGCGATCTTCCCTGTTAGAAACCTGCCTACTTTTACAATAGGTATTATTTCCCTTCTAAGGACCCCTCTTTCGTGAAAGCTTCCATTATTGCACATCAGTGAATTTTTCGGCGTACAGGAGGCCTCCGTTGATAAGAAGTTTTACGCCAAAATATTCTGCAGATTCCCTCATGAGGCACTCTTCACTGCCTCAAACCGTCCTTGCCGAGTATGAATCTGTCATGCGGTCGTCGGAAGTTCAACGAAGGCCTACCGTATGCTCAGCCTGACAGCGCTTTATCTAGTGACATGCAAGACCCTGCCGACCGATCAGTGTTTTGAATAACGTCGTATTGGTCCATGATCCATCAAGGACCTTGTGAGTTCGAACCACGAGCCATGTCCTGTGGCAAATTCTGATGGAATCGATGAAGGGGTCTTTATGAAGTTCTTTTATGAATTGTAATAAGCTCTTACTAATTCAGTTTGGAAGCATCCAATTTCTTAGCTGTGTGCAACACTCTGAATATGGAGAAAAAGAATGATGCTTATTGCCGTCATCCCAACCCTCTCCCTGTATGGTGTATTACATGATTGCTGCTGGGAGATATAATAAAGACGAATTTGAATTCAATCATTTCACAAACCATGGAAATCGCTTGACCAAGCATAACAGCTTCAGCTTCTATGCCTCCAACACCCCAACCAAGAACGCCACTGCCATTTATCATTGTCGTGTGTGAATCCGTGCCAACGACCGAGTCCGGATATAACACATTGTCCTGCAACAAACATAACAAAATTAAACAAAGGAATGAAAATATAATACATCAAGTTGCTGGCGTCAAGAACAGAAGCAATGAAGAAGTGTGTCAGAATACAATGATTGCTTTACCTCACTGACAAAGACAGTTCTTGACAAATACTCGAGATTCACTTGATGCACAATTCCAGATCCAGGAGGAACAATGAAAAGGTTGTCGAACGCTTTCGAACCCCACTGCAATACGAGAAAGAATGAAATATTTTCCAGCATAACCTATGGAGGGACTGGAACCACTAATAATAATAATACTAATTCATCCTCAACAATACCGTTTACCGTTTACCTGTACCATCTGCCCTCACACTGGGGTGTCCCCAAGAGGCCCGTCGCGCGGCGAAGGAAGAGACGCAGACGCGGCAAAGGACGAGTCGCAGCGCATACTGTAGCGGTTAGGCGTCAGGTTAAATAGAGTGTACCATACTACGTCTCATATCGCACAGCACGCGCTGCGACTCGTCCTTTGCCGCATCTGCGTCTCTTCCTTCGCCGCGCGACGGGCCTCTTGGGGGACACCCCTCACACCGCTCTTCCAGTGGACGCAACTACATCCGTCAACTCGCTACCGCCTACAAGATTACCTTAGTGAATTTTCCTCGCTCAACTTCACTATCGTACAGAGCTATCTTTTTACTATCTTTTTAAAATTATTTTCGTATTGTTACAAGCTTTTTTTGAGGTTGTGCTGCAATGATCACTAAAAAACTGACAATTCTTACCGCGCAATGGAGCAAAGCCGCTGAACTTCCTTTAATTTACCGTAACGTAGCGCAGACGTGATATCACGAAAGTGCAATTATCGTGCGTTCATGTTGCAGGTAAGTAATGTAGTAGGACTTTGCTATTCATTTCGTGGGACCAACACTATTTCTAGCACCTCCAATTGTTTTTCTTTCTTTTCTCGAAGAGCGCATCGACCTTAACGAAAAGGCTGGCAAACCCTTCGAGAACTTGTTTTGGTTTCTGTTCGAAGGACTTATTGTGGTGATATAAATTAAAAACCTGTGAATGTCTCAGATATTGACCCAATCCGTCAAGGGGTCAGTAGTCTCTCCCACCTATATTTGCCCACATCTGTGAAATTCTGTTGAATATCAATCCCTTGAGCGCTATTCGTGATATATTACCTTCAAGAAGTTGAATCTCTCCTTGTTCCTCTCGAATTCCATGCTTTGATTCTTTGCAAGTGCATCCAGACTGCAAACAACCTCAATATTTCTCGAAAAATTGGACCGAATTTAAATGCACCTTCCGTAGCTGTCCACCTGCAACAGAGTGATCAATGACCAAATCAACCGGGCAAAATCGGTTCACTTTTGCAGGATCTCCACCCAGCTCCTGAACAGCATCCCTCATTGTGGCCAAGTCGACGACGGCAGGAACTCCACTTTAGCGAAAACAAGTTATGAGAATGACGCGAAAACGGGCAAATTCTGAATGTTTTTACTCACGTGAAATCCTGAAGAAGAACGCGAGCTGGTCTGAAGGGTATCTCAGCTTGATGATGCTGACTTTCTTCCCAGTTGAGGATTGTCTCGACATCAGACTCCAGCACTTGGAATCCATCGCAGTGACGAACAGCGGCTTCCAGGAAGATAACGGATAGAGATGGGCAGTTTCTCTTGAAGAAAAAATTGTATGGTCTTTGAACCTGCATAAGATGTACGCAATTCAAAGACAAAGTGATTCTAGCTATGCTGACCACAACCTTCAGATGCCCATTGCGACAATATAAGGAAAAATTTTGGTATGAGGCACTGTAATGTGCAAAGGCAGCGCATGCCAACCGTGACGTGGCGGCGCCCTGCACGACCGGACTGAGTTGCCGCATCTTAGATGGACTTGGGTCTTTTGAGAAGCCTGATCGTTTTTCGCACCCGAAATCGTTACCTGGAGTCGTTCGATGCCAAACATACGAGACGTATCGTTGCTGCCCTTCGGAGAACCCTGTCAAGAAACAGGCCAAATGTGACCTAACCGCAACAGAAAGGTTTTCCCCTTGTTGTTGGTGGAATTTGCAATGAATCTCGACCAAATATTTCAGACTGCTTCTTGCCGGGTTCACCATAACCCCTATATGCACCATTTTCAACTACAGAAGTGGGGCGACGATATCCCACGGAAACACCGGTAACAAGAAAAGTCGTCTTCATCGCGACAACGGCCGATGCCGTGCCTCCAAAGCTCCGTACCCAATGTTAGCAACTCGAATGGGAGGCGCTATCCATTGTGCTTATTTGCTTGAGCTCCGGCACCACCTGAACTTGACAAACATACCTTTCGCTGGGAGAAAAATTCATTACCCTTTCAAGACATGGCATCCCCAATGGCTACAGTGTTTCAAGATGCATTTGACAATTTTTTTTTTAAGTATGCTTCAATAAACTCATTCATTTCCGCGTGGCCAGCCGTGGGCAAGGGAAGTCTCCATCCACACAAATTTTTATTGAAGAAAAATCTCCCGGCTCTACTGCTATTGCGCAATCCCGCGCGGTCGCGAATGGGTTACTTAGATTTCGATAATGAGATCTTCAAGTTCCTTGGCTCGCAGCCATCACAGATATAGCCCTTCAGAACGAAGAATCTGCCGCATGCTTGGGCACATGTTGCTGACCATAATGGTGAACACTATGGCTCAGCAACATGTGTCCCAAGCATCGCGCGCATATTAGTGTTAAACAGAAAATGAGTTTTTCTAATATGAAGGCTCACGCAGGAAAGGGTCATTAGGCCAACCCGGCCAAATGAAATGAGGTGCACATTTCTGTACGCAGCATGAGACGCTGAACTCAAATCTGCTTTCACTATCTGCTGAACTCTTCTCTGAAAGGAGTTACGGAGGGTTTTTGTTGCCGCCCTTGATTTTCAGTGTTTTACCTGCAATCACATGTTAGCCGCACTACAAAAGTATCGAAAGGAGAACCGAGGCACTGGTGATGTGAGCCTAGGTAGCGCAGTTGGTAGCGGTCGTGTTTCTCACGGAGGGGTCGGGGGTTCGGTCCCTTACGGGGTTTGTTGTTTTGCTTTTTTTCCAACATGGCTGAAAAGCCTTTTTGAATCTGTTATTTTACCAATGGTCGCCCGACGCTACATCTACGAAGAGTTTGCAAGCTGACCCTCTTAAACTTAAGCACTACTTGTCTGTGAAAGCCTATGGTGCCCGTAGTGCAGGTGCTATGCTTTTCCGTGGCAAGTAGGTATGATATTCGTATTCAGGGGATCAAACTACCCCTTACAGCGAGTTTTTCGCCAAATCTGAGGCGACGAAATAATTGAGAAAAAGCGGGGCAGTGATGGGATTACCACTCCTCAAACTCCCACTTTTTTGGGTTGACCAATCATGGACGACGGGGGAAAGGGGAGAGAAGGTGTTGTATTAGGAAATAATGGTTTGTAGATCTTTGGATGATGCGGACGGGCAAGCCAGACACAATTTTCGTCTATTATGAAAAGTTTTTAAAAAAATTTATTCTATCCAAGTGCCAGCCTTTTGTAATGGATTGGTGGATCGGTGAGTAAGTGACTGCCCAAATTTTCGAGGTTAGGTCAAAATTTCAGAATTCGCTAGAAGTTCGCTCAAAGGGAGAGTCTGACTCCCTGATTACGAATATCATACTTGTTCGAAGCAAAAATGCCTGGCGCCTGCGCTACAAGCGCCCAAAGTGGTGAGGAGCGGTGCCGCCCAAGTTCATTATTAATTGCCCTCAAATTCTTTTTACTGTTAACTATACGCAAGCATGTTCGGACTAGCAATGTTAGGAGTCTTCCTAGCTATCTTACTGCAAACGGCAAAAGAACAAACTCGCCAGGGAGTTGATCCCCTGACCTCTTTTTCGTGAGCCTCGACCACAGCCTGCGCTTTTCTGCTTCATAATTCCTTTCAGAGAAGAGTTCAGCAGATAAAGGAACATATTTGAGCTCAGCGTCCCAAGGCGCGTATACACATATACATCTCATTTCAAATGGCCGGGTTGACCAAATGACCTTTCCTGGTGAGATCAAGGCTTTCTCCTCAACCTGCTGAACATAGTGCTGTGAAGTATGAGGAGCGCCCCGGTACCGTTTGTATGGAGCTAGACATCATCAATCATCACTCAATCAGCAGCAATTATGAATGAGTCATGATTAACTAGTTCCAGATGAACAAATAAACAAAAAGAAACAAACAGAGCGAACATCTTCGGCCTTTGTTTTTGCCATCCCTGCTCGAGCAAAGGCAGAATGATTCACAAACGTGCATGACACCAACTTGGCGATTGTCAATCCATTGCACCTACCTCACCATGTTGAACGCGCAGGGAAAAATATTCATCACTTCTTCGCCGAACCACTAAGTTTGGAAAGCAGTTTTAACATCAGCGTATGAAAAACTACATGGTACATCTTCACTACGAGTGTAGGCGCTCATGTCGTTGGGGGGGGGGGGACATTGAGGAGAGTGAGCCGAACTAGGGACTATACCTTTAGGGGGGAAGGATTCTGAGGGAGAAGTGAGCAACCTTTGTTCTCCCTGGCGGCGTTTCTCCCCACTCCTGGGTTCAGTCCAAGTGCCACCTACCAACGGTTTTTAGATGCCCTGTTTTGAGTGTTCCCCATGAACGCCCAAATGACTATTGAAGCCGGAACTTTCTCCTAGTAGCACCCGAAGGATTGAACACCATCAAAAGTTCGAAACACACCGGGTCCACTTGTTCGAGGTCACTGACACTTCCAGCCGCAGTCCACAAGGCCATGTCTTGCCGCGGGAACGAGAGGTTAATTAGCATTAAAAAATAAATCGAAAATACACACCATATCTTGGATCGTTCAACGCCACAAGATCGTAGTATTTGAAAGTGGCATCCCCAACGGGGAGATCCTTCAATAGCCGCGCAAAGGCCATCCTGAAATACAGCGTTTCTAATTCATATTTCGATGCAGCACGATTCTTACACAATTCACGCGGGTGCATTGAACATGGGTTGTGAAATAAGAGACGATCTTGCTCTCCATTTTGTTGCACGTGCGATCATGGCCATCTACCCATTCCACTAATTGGTATGACTTCAAGACAAAACTCGATATACGCTGGGTCCAAGATATGTGGAAGTAGAGTGGAAATGATGCGACTGGGAAAAAGAGACAAGCAAAATAGTCAGAACTCGAGGAACGGCATCTTTTTTCCCCCTCTGTTTAAAATTGGACGAGGTAACCGCGGATGTTGGCAGTTCAGTGGTCGCTGCAAAAACATGTCTTTAATAATCATACTATTAGTAGTCAATGAATGTGTGATCGTGACAACAATGTTGTACAGTTGATATCTCGAAGTCTGATTAGGCGTGTCACCGGAAATGACGTGACAGCCACCGCACTTGGAAGTTGCGTGGATAAGCTGCTTCCAGCCTGCCTTGCTGATTTCCAGCGAAGTATGTCGGAAGCGGCTTATATGCGCGACTTCTATCTAGTGCGATGGCCTCCACATCAAGGAACCGCCTAATCAGATGGTCAGAAATGAACTGTACTCATATTCGCAGAGCCATACGCGAAAGTGATAGCTGAAATAGGTGATACGGATAAGCAGAGGTGACGGTTAGACCCATCGCACTCTGAGGACGACGCTAGACGGGGAATACAGAAGATGAAAGTTGGAAAGGCGGTTGGTCCAGATGGGGTGCCAATCGAGGCATGGAAGGCGCTCGGAGAGTACGGCATAAGGTGGCTCACCAGCTTCCTGAACAAGGTAACAGTGGAAGGAAAGATGCCGGATGCTGGAGAACAAGTACTGTCGTCCCCATCTTTGAGGTAGACGGTCAACCGTCTACCTCAAAGAAAGTGAACATTACGGTAGGGATTCAGCAAGGAGCCCGCCTCTTCCTGCTAACCCTAGACCTGATGGTCAAGAGATTGAAGGATGGACCATTAAAGAGCCCCTAGTTCGCAGAAGTGGCAGGAAGTGCTGGCAGAAGCTGGGCTCCAGCTAAACGTAAAAAAAAGCTAAGTTCGTAAGCTCTGAAGTTCATAGTTCATACTATATGCCGATGTCATCGTCCTGATAGCGGATAGCAGAGAAGAATTTCAGGGGAAGTGCAGAAGTGGCAATTCAGAGCCGATCATAGACAGCCATGGAGAAACCATCGAAAGAGTGGAGGACTTCCGATACCTTGGGAGCGATCTGGCAGCCGACGGTAGTGTGGATCAGGCAGTGAAGGCAGGATCAACGCGGCATGGATGAAATGGAGGGAGTCCACTGGAATCCTCTGCGATCGAAGGTGCTCCAGAACGCTCAAAGGAAAGGTGTACCGGACAGTGGTAAGGCCTGCGATGCTATACGGCAGCGAGTGCTGGCCCCTGAACAAGAATCACGAAAGGCAGCTTCACTCCGCTGAGATGAGGATGCTGAGATGGGCCTGCGGCTGGACGCGGCTGGACAGGGTCAGAAACGAGGATGTCAGCGGTCATGCAGACTGCCCCTGTCCAGCTGAAGGTACGGGAACAGCGTCTGCGATGGTATGGCATGTGCTAAGGAGGCCACAGGACCACCCAATAAGAAAAGCGATGGACTTCGAAGCGCAAGGCAAGCGACCGCGAGGACCAAAGAAGAGGTGGAGGGACGTCATCAAGAAGGGACTCATTCAAGTTTGGACACGGCAGAGGATGCCGCGGATAGGAGCAAGTGGCGACGGCCAACAAGAACAGCGGACCCTGTGAGTTAACGAGGGAGAAGAAGACGGCTTGACATCGAAGGAACTCAAAGGAACTCTTGAGAAGAGAACCATGCAACATGACCAGAGCTACGGTACGTTGAATTTCGCTGCGACACTGTTTCTGTTTCTTTTGACTCTCTTTTACAACGGTTTTTACCACAAAGCGCGCACATTAAAAAGCGCTTCCCGAATCCTCCTATTACCCTTCCCACCACATCATTTTTTCCTTCATTATCATCAATTTCTATCCGGGTTTTATCTTGCATGTTTTGCAAAACATCAGATGGCAGCTGAACAAGGGATATATTTGCACAGCCCTATCTAGGCTTGTTTAATGGCATGTCAATGACATGAGGCAGCCACTTAGTCCGATTGGCTACGCTCTCACCGAAGCAACTCCTCTCCGGGGTGGTTTCGACACAAAAATAACGTAACATTTTCAATACCGTTTGGACCAGAAATGGGTGTGCACCGGTGCTCCCAGTGCAGCATAAAGTTGCGATTGTAGTGTAAGAGCGCAAGCGGCTTCCTTCAAACGGCGGGAAGCGTCGTAAAGTGAAGTTTTTCTGGACATATATAGCTTCCCTGAAATTTTCAAAGGTTCACTCCAAAACCGATGGTGTTTTTATGACCAACAAGGGGGAATAAAAACACCAGCGCTGGTCAGTGCAACCCATGGCACAGTTCTCTGTCCACAAGGCACACTCTTATTTCAAGCCCGCGTGAGGCTGCTGACAAATACTGGGGAGATCAATTATTCTCTTCTCAACCAGCACCTGAAATTTGCTGAGCATTCATTATTTTTCACTCGCCCGTTCGCATTTTTTTTTGCAATTGCGAGCTTTTAGATTTGGATATTCGAAAGCTTTCGCCATTCCTTGCGTGCACACTTCATTGAATGCGTTACTGTCCGGTCGATGGGTTTCGGAAATGTTCAGAGATGTGGTCTGGATCTAAAGATCATAGCTTGATCCCTTTTCGGTTCTGTAGAAAAATTTTGAGATGCAAGAAAATTATGCTTGATTCCTTCCTAATGAACAATTGATCGGTGTTTTTTTTGTTCATTTCTTGGAAATCTAGTCGCTCGGACTCTTTCTTAGGTTTTCAAAAAAAATCGAGTTTTTGAGCTTGCTGCAATCCTGACTTCCTCAAAAATGCCCATTATAGAGACGAAGGAAGAAGGGTGCATTTCTGCAAATAACCATGAACGTGGGTGTTCCAAAAGCGTTCAAAAAAAAGGTGGCATAAAGAAGCTCCTGAAAAATCTGTTTGTGAAAACGTCATTGTAAGCTCATGGTCGTAGAATCTACCTTCTCTTACCACTGCACTGCAATTTTTACACTTTCACCCCGGTTCGAAGGCAAGTGTGCTCATCCGAAGCATTTCTTTTTTGCATGTGATAAATCAGATTTAAATTCGAGTGTTTGGAACTGATAAATTCTGCTCAGAGGATGCGCGTGCGCGCACACGCATGTGGTTTGCTGCTAAAGCACTTAAAAAGCCTCTTTTCTCTTGCTGTGCAGGCACTGCCAGCCACTCTGATCCTTGTCGCGCTTTGATGAAACCCTAGGCCTACAGCTGCGAACTATTTATTTACGCTGCTTTTCTCACAAATTCGCTTTTCCCTGATAACTTTGCCCCACATGTCAATCCCCATATCGTCACGATTTCCGCTACGACGATAGCGATAGTTGAGGTTGCGACGACCCTTTCTCTCCCCCCCCCCCCTCCCTTCATGAACGAAATCGACTGCCATCATTCGAATCTTCGAATCCTTCGGGCAAACGCTTGATCCTGAGTGTGAACTCGCACATTCCTTTTTAACACAAGCTGCGTGACTCACCCTAGGGGGTAACCTCGACGAAATAAAGCAGTCATGCCACCTTATGCCATACTTACCGGTTGTCAGGTGCGCAGTCCCTTTGGCGGTTCTTTCCTCACTGTCGTAATTTACAGCACCTCATCCTTCACCTTACAAAAGGAGGAGCCTGACCTTATGCAGCCGCGGCTGAGGATGGGCCCTCAGAACTCTTTGTCTCTACTGCGGACGACGACGCATTCCCCATAGTCAAAAGAATGGTTACAAGGCTTCTGTCAACCAGGGGGTGAGAGTGTAGAAGGAAAAGCAGACGTTCTTTGTGGTAGTGGGACTAAGCCTTTTAAAGGAGGTAAAGAAAGCGGAGATTCTGTAATAGTGCGCTTGTGTGAGAGCTCCCAGACAGCACAACAAAACGCTGAATTGCCTAGCCTCACGGTTGACAGATGTCCGGACTCCTGAGACCGTCGAGAACAGGGAGATCCGTCCAAACACGCAGTTTCAGGGACCCTTCCCTGGATCGAGTTTGCTGCATATGGCCTCAGGTCGCAGTGGTCCATTCAACACTTTGAAAACGATAAGAATTTGCACGCAGCATAAGAATTTGCACGCAGCGAGCACGCAGACCACGTCTCTATGGGGCGCGCTCAAAGTCGCTCAACATTGGGCAAAATTGTTCCAACCTAGGAAACGTCATTGGGTAAATCGGGTAAATCAAATGCGATAAAGCTTTCTACCCATCCTCAGACGCTGAGCTTGAATCTGCTTTCTTTATCTGCTATTCTCCTCTCAGAAAGGAGTTATCAGAGGTTTTCTCTTTCACACATACTTTTTAATATCTTGCCTTCCACATATAGGCCCCATCACAAAGAACCAGCGTGGTGAGCTTCGATGGCGCAGCTGGCAGCTGTTCTGCCTCTAAAGCGAAGGGTTGCGGGTTCGGTTCCTTCTAACAATTGAAATTCTGCCTTTTTTCAACATAGCTAAGAACCTTTTGAATACGCTATTTGATCAACCGATGCTTGAAGCTACATCCGATGGAATGTTTGCTGGCACATACTCTTGAATTTAAAAACTACTTGTCTGTAGGGTTCGTGATGCCTGCAGGTGCCACGCTTTTTCATGCCAAATAGGTACGATATTCGTGTTCGGGAGGTCAAATTACCACGAGTTTTGGCCCAACCTGAGGTTTTCATCTCGTTGAGAAAAAGCGGAACATTCATGATTTTATCACTCCATATAGCAACTTTAGAGTTTCGATTATGGACGACGGGAAAGCTGAGAGAGATGGAGTG